CTTTTCTTCCTCTTTTAGGGCAATTAGAAGTAAAGCTGACCTGGGCAAAAATTTTAATCAGCACTTTAGATTTTTTGAACACAGAAAAACTGAATCATTCCGTGAGACCTTCATTTCAGCAGCTCTGGCTTGGGCTCTCAGTCTTTGGCTTTCCTCCATCAAAGTACCTGATGGACATTATCAAGAGATGTCACTGATTTTTGCTGCTTCTTTCCCCTCCCCAGACCACAGCTCTCCTGGTTCACAGGCAGAGATGAGTGAAACTAGTATTTTGGAACAATTCTAACAGCATAACAATGGTTAATTGATCAAGTACCCCAACAGGGCTTAAAGGTCTCCTTTATCTTGTACGTGCTAAGTATTTACTCGGGCATTTCATGCCTTGAGCTTTGTTGGCCTACTTGTTTGGGCAAAGCCATTTCTCTGTGAGGTGTTTGCTGGAAGTCTTGGTCCAGTTGAAATGAATGGCAGAGGCCAGTGCAACTACATTAGCTGGGGATTCAGCATCCAGTTTAAAAGCAAACACTAAGTGGAAATGTCTGCATCCCCCACTGTAACGATGAGCAGACCCACCCTGCCTTCACCTGTTGCCTGCTTTTTAAAATCAGCCCAAAGGTGAGTGAGGAGAGTAAACATTGCTGGAATATGCATTTCCACTGAGGTTAGATGTATTTGTGAGCAGCTTTCTAAAATTAAACTTTGATAGTGGCAAACAGGGATTTGGGTGTGGAAATGCAATTAGCTGTGACTCAGGACTCTGGATGTACAGGTGGGCAACGAGTTGTGAGTTCTCTCATGGAAACTTGACAAAGCAGCAAGAACAACTTACTGTGTGTTAATATGAGCAGAGTAAATAACACAACATGTTATTAGTGTTTGGCATGAATTTCCAAGTGGCTCCTTTGGGTGATGTAGACAGAAGTGCACGTGGCAGGTGATGGTAGGTGATGTTTTTCATGTGGAGTAGTCATTATCTTCCTGTTAGTAACATTTGTTCTCTTTTCTTGAGAGTTCTGAGATCCTGAAAGAAAGACATTATAAGAACTCTGATGTATTATTTTCATAGAATGGTCTCCCAGACTTCCTCTGGTGTCAATAAGCATCACCCATCACCTGGGCCAGAAATTAGTTTTTCCATCTTAAAGATTAATTCATGGAGATCCTAAAAGGCTTGGCTAAGGCTTTCAAAGAAAAAGCAAGGCTTTCCAATTACCCCTCTCAGTGGTTTGTATCAGTTGATACTCTGCCTTCCAAAATGTGCTGTACAACATTTTCTCCCTTCACACAATAATCACTTAGAGAATGTCCTAGAGATAAAATAGAGTGGTCCTGTGCCAGTTCATAGGTGCATGGCAGAGACTGTGTCTGTCCTTTTCTCATGACTATCAAGCATCGCATGGATGCCAACATAGTGGACATTGTAGGTAAATGGACATGGGAGGAGGGGCAGCATTCTGTTGGCTTATTAAATTACTTTTAAAATTATTTACTTTTAATTAGAAGGAGATTGAGAGATTTCTAAGTCTTTGTGGGGTTTTTTTCCCCCCCTCTGGCAGCCAGATTTTATGCTCCCACTTTTAAAATGTCATTTGTTTGAATTAAACTTGGTCCTTCTGATTCTCTGTTTCTCTCCTATCTGAGTCTTTGGAGGATGGAGATACAGCCACGACTGTCTTCTGTGCTAGTGACTGTATCTTCTGATTCAGAGCTCCTGTATTCCAAAGCCAATAATGATTCACTCTCACAGCAGTGGTGTGAGCAGTCTCAGCTTTTATATGCCATCTGTGTGAGTGAGCTGAATCTGCAGAAACGGGACCCTGTACACATGGCTTTTCCTCTGTTCATGGATGAAAATATTAAAGCAAATCCGTATGGTCCATGAGATGTTTTCTGTGTCAGGAAGGGAGTAAAACTGCCTGTCAAACCAAGCTGTTCTCCCTGATGAAAGGGGACTGTTTTTAAACACTCCTTTCCATAGTATTTTGCACGCCAGCCATGTGTGCTTTCTCATCTGACATCTCATTGAGATCCTTGGCTTCGGTTCTGCAGGAGGGAAGTGTGTTCTGGAAGGGAAGGAAATTATCTCTCAATATATACACAAGCACGTGTGCACACACACGGTCTTGAATCAATCTTAAATGAATTGAATTTTTTTTTTTTTAGGAATACGAAAGAAAATTAATCTGGTTGAGCCAGACTTAATTGCTTCCCTTTTGTTTGGATTTTCTATTTTCTCTTGAAGATATTAGGAAGCAGTGCTCTGAGTTATTATTAGATACAAAGGTAGAGACAGAGGGCAAAGGGTTCATTTACAATTCCTACAGCAGTGCATTGAATTTTAAGGCTAAAAGGCAAGTAATCTTGAAAATCAGGATTCATCCACTAAGTATGAGTGGAGTATACTCCATAGAGTATTTCTGAAGGTTCAGGCTGGTCTGGGGAGCTAACCCTTTTTGCAGCTACACACTGGCTGGAGGAACCAGAAAAAAAAAGTGGTTTTGTTTTTTTTTCTTTTTCAGTTAAGGAAAGAACTCACCTTGCAGGGAGAAGCTTGGAAACATGAACTGATATAAAGTAATGAATTGATATAAACACATTTTTTTTGGAGGAAGCAACTGGACTTCAGTTCTCTGTCAGGAGACTGGGAAGCTTTAAGGTTATCCACAGGCACACATTCCTGTGTTTTGAAAAATTCAAGTCAGTTAATCCCAGATAATGGGATACCATTAAAACCACTACCTCACCTCCACGATCTTAGGGCAATACTGCAAGGAGCAATTTGATTGTGTTGGGAGGAGGGCCCACAGCATTAGAGTGTGCTGTTGCAAAAGAAATCCAACGCCAAAAAGGTTTTCTAGCCCTTTCCTAAAATGCAGTGGTGATTGTAACTTCCTTTCAGACAATCAGAGAACGGTTGAGATTGGCAGGGATCTCTGGAGACCATCTGGTCCTAACCCCTGTCCAGGCTGGGCCACCTAAAGCCACTTGCCATGGACCCTGTCCAGATGGTTTTTGAGTATCTCCAAGGATGGGGACTCCACAACTTCCTTGGGCAACCTGTGCCAGCACTTGGTCACCTTCAGTGTAAAAAAAGTGTTTCCTGATGTTCAGAGGGAAGCTCCTGGCTTTCAGTTTGTGCCCATTGCTTCTGGTGCTGTCACTGGGCACCGCTGAAAAGAGCCTGGCTGTGTCCTCTTTGCTGTTTGTTCATAGACATTGTTGGGATCCCCTGGAGTCTTCTCTTCTCCAGGCTGAACATTCCCAACCTGGTCCTCATAGGAGAGATGCTCCTGCCCCTTAATGCTCTTCATGAGCCTCCACTGCAGTCTCTCCAGTATGTCCATGTCTCGTACTAATGAGCCCAGAACTGGACCCAGGCACTCCACACGTGGCCTCACCAGTGCTCTCATTGTCCTAAACTGAGCTCCTGTGGAAAGGAAAGGTTTGGAATGGGGGCTGTTCCAACTGGGATGCAGGCATGGGTTTTGGATAGCTCCAGTTTGAGCACTGCAGGGTTTTTTGGGGCTCGCTCTGCCAAACCTCTTGTATCTGGAACTTGCTGCTGCGTTTGGGCAGCTTTGGTCAAGGAGGGATTTTCTTCTGGGTAGTTCAGCTTTGCTGACCTGACCTGTGGAATAAATATTCTTTTCTGAACTTGTTTCTTCTTTCACATTAGCTTTTTTTTTTTTTTTCCCCTCTCCCAGTGGCTGTGCTGAGGCTTGTTCAGTTTGCCAGGCTAAAGGGCATCACAAGAACATGCATCATTTTGTACTTTTTTGTCTAAGGCAACAAAACAAAAATAAGTTTTAAAAAAATCGTTTTGTTGTAATTTTTTTTTCCCCTTTGAAAGCTCCTGAAGCATAGTGTCTTTCCTTGAAGAGAAGATATTACTAATGTAAATCCGATGCTGTTGGCAAAGGAATAATATGATGTATGTCATAAGGCAAGGAACTGAGGAGGAGCTGGAGTGATGGAAATGCCTCACGGGCATATGAGATTGTGGGGATAGGTATTCACACAGAGGATGCTTTCTTACATGTCCCAGGGCTTTCTCTTATCTCTGAACATGAACCTGTAGTGAAATAGAAATGTTCCTGTATTAATAGTGCATTGGAGATAACCCTCATCTGAAAAACACAGTAATACTGCACAACTGGGAACCCTTTCAGAGCAGGGAATTGGACTAAGAATTTCCTAGTGTGTTGGTAATGAAACATTTTGGTCCTGTATAAGCAAATGGGCAAGGTTAGTGGACACATTACTCTGGTTGTCATTGTCCCAGCAGTAACCAATTTAGAGGCTTTATATTTTCTGCTATCCCAGAAAGGGAAAGAAAAGTAGAGAGTTAAAAATAGAAATCCCAGAAGGAATTAAAGTGCAAAGAGTGAACAAGCTCGTAGTACTGCTGTATAATTTTGAAATCCTTTTTTTTTCCTTATAATCTGGACTTTAATATATGTATTACATTGCAGATTCTGGCAGTGACTGTCCTGCTCCAAAAGGTCACCTCCATACAGGAGGATTTATTCTGGCTTTAACATGTGAACATGGGCATCCAGCCCTGGATCTATCTAGCTGCTGTTTGTATTGATGGTTTCTGTTTGCATTTCCCTTCACCTGATGCTGTTGATTTTCTGGAGAAGCATGAGAAATTGTCTGTGGCTTTGGCCTTCAAAGGAGGAGGTTAAAAAAATATCTTCTGGTGCCTGTGTAGAGGTCATAACTGGTTTGGTTTTTTTTCATAGCTCTTTCAACAGCTGTGGACAGATATCAGGCCTTCATGAAGTGTTTTATTCAAGTAGGTCCCCTGTAGCACTGCCCTGCACAGGACAAGGGTGGTGTGTTTCCTTTCTCAAAGTTAAGTGAACCTACACTCTCGGTTTCATCGAGGTCACTTTTCCTCTCTAAGTTTCCCATCAAGATTAACACAGTTTCTAAATTAAACAAAGTTTCTAAAGCAGATGTCCGGCCTGATGTGGAATTGCCTTCTTGCTTTGCAGATATCCTTGTTGATGGCCAGCTCTGTGACTGTGATGTCGTGGTGAACTGCCAGGTGGGCGACCCCGTCCCACTGCAGGTGAAGTTGACCAACTGGAGCAAGCACAGCGTGGGGCCCTTTGCCCTCACTGTGATGCCCTACCAGGATTACCAGAACGGGGTGCACAACTACGACCTGCAAGATGCCATCACCTTTGTGGGCTCCAACACCTTCTACATCGACTCAGTAAGTAGTTTCATCAGGAAAATCAGGATTCTGGATGATTGGCATTTGCAGACAGGGGCTTCCTTGTTTGATTGTGCATTTTGAGTCAAATTAATTTTTTAGAAAGCACCATGGTTGTGGCATCTATTGCTGGGTTGGGGGGATACAGAATCATCTCTCTGAAATGGTTTAAGACTGTAATTTCCTACCATGAAAACCACTAGTAAATTATCAGAGGCAGTAACCTTTGGTCACTCCAGGTCGGAGTAAATGTGAACAGGTAAGCTAAATTGAATGGTCAATACCATTTTGCCGGTCCCTTGAGTCATCCAGTGCAGCCTGCAGTAATAGATTTTAAATAACTTTTCTTTTTCTCTTTAGTCCATAAGAAATATTCCCCAGGCTGAGCTGAGGAGCTCAGCAAATCAGTTTTAGTCAGGTCCTGAGGAAACGCAACAGACTGTAAAAAGAAAATGCTAAACATTAATGACCAGTCTGATGAGCTGGTTCATTTCCTTGGTGCTTAGCATACTGTTACAAAACTATAAAGAAATACTTAAAATGAGGCAAAAAAAGCTCCTTTTAAAAACAATTTAGATTATGATTTTTCTTTCCATTTCTTTAGAAAGTTCAAGTCTGGGAACTTTTTGCTTCTGAGGCAAGACACTGAAAATACAGATAAAACTACTCTCTCCCACATCCTTTTCCCCCAAAAATGCAACAACAAAATACCAGGAATGAAAACTTACAGACAATGCTGTTGAGTGGAAAAAGCAGCATTTTTGGTAACTTATGAAATAAACATGAAGAAGGGGGTGAGCATTTGGGATAGTGCTTAGGACCTTTGCTTAGGTCAGCTTTTTGGATCAGTAATAAAATGTACCTGTCAAAACTGAATATACAAGTGAACCTTAGTAAGAAAGAAATTAAAGGTTAACCACAGGGATAGTCACCATGCACATTTTTCAATTACCCATCACAGAAGAAAATATTTCTAAAAGCTAATGAGCATGAAATACACCATCAGCTTGAATTTTAATGGGGGCTAACTGTATTCTTATAGCTGAATAATTTAAGTATGTCAACAGAAATCATCCAGAGATGGCTTTCTTTGACTCTCTTCCTGACAATGTGGAGTTTTTAATCAGGCTGGTTGTGTTTGGATGCCTGGCTGCCAAAGGGCCTGACCCTCCAGGCTAATGAGGGAATAGGGAGATGTCAGTGTGATGTATCCTTACCTTCTGATTGAGTCTCCTGCGAGGCAAAAAGTCAGGAGGTTACATCTCTTGTGCCTGCCCAGGCAGCCTTCTCATACGCTACGGTCTCCGCTTTTGCCCCATTGTTCAGGATTGTGACATTTCTCCTGTAAACACAGTCCCCAAGAAGTTAAAAATAGAATTGTTTTCTGCTGTTTGTCCTCCTTTCCATCCAAAAAGGTGAAATGAAGAAAATGTGGACTCTCAGACAAGAAGTGTTGTCTTTCACAGTGTGTGGTGTTGATACTACACAGACTCCCAGAGAAAATGCTTGGTCGTGTTTCGTCGAGGCATAGAGCCCTCATCATGGAAGAAAATTCTTCAATGTATCTAATGCTGTCAGAGGCCCTTTCTTCCCTCATAAAAACTAATTTAGTAATGGAAAATAGATTTCAGAAAGGTCCACCTGTTATGGGGACAAGAAGTCCTGGTTTGTGCATTTGATGCTTCGGGGAAGAACAACCACACACAGAATTGTGTTGATGCTCTGAGTTTGGTCGAAAGTCAGACAGACCCTGGTCAAAAGACCAAAGAAGCTCATGGTTGGGTGAGATGAAGGAGATTCAGAGTTTCTCTTTTTTATAAATGAAAGTTGAGGCACTGGACCAGATTCCCTGCAGGTCTTCAACTCTGCGCTGCTCTGTTGAAGCCATTAAAAATGGCCCCATTATTTTTTTAACCTCAGGTCATTGGCACTCGATTATCTTCCTTGTTTAATGGGGGTGTCTTGAGACACTGCCCTTTCCCAACTGCTTATGAAAGCTGCTGCCCTCTTTCCCAGCAGACCCACCGGGAGAGATGATGCGAGCACTTGTTTTTTGTGCAAAGTTGTCCAGTTTAGCAAAACCGACGTTCATCAGCACTTTGAGCTAATTGGGCTGACTTCCCACTGACACTGGCACAGAGGTGCTGACATGATTTATTGCAGGGCTGAGCTGGGTGGGAGAAAGGATGGAGAACTAGAGTATGGGTTGGTTTATCATGGGTGTGTGGTCAAGAATGAGTGGGAGCATCAAGTATTACAGCAAGAAAAGGTACTTCCCACACCCTGAAAAATTTGTTCTTTTGTCATGCTGATGCAGAAACTGCATTATTGGTATTCAACTGAATGTGATTTCTCTGGGGAAAAAGCAAACAAAACCCCAAACCGTCCTGCTTTCCTAAATGTTAGTTTCATATTGAGTCTCATGCTCAAAAATTCACAGTTATTTTTGATTCCGATCTAAAAAGTTTCAAAGCAGTTTCAGCTGCTATCTGGAAGACAGGGCATACATACAGGAATTTTCAGAATGCACATGCTGCTTTGCAGTATGAATATAAATCGTTGAAAGGGCAAAAATCACACGATTTCGTATTTCTCTTTCTTGTGGCTTGAAGTCCAGGTGAGACGATTTATCTTGGAGGTAATGTAATGACGCTCATTCACCTTTTTGTGCTTTTCCTTCAGTTCAATGCAGCAGCCCGGGTCTGTGTCACAAGGACTCTGCTGGGGCATGCTACTTCAAAAAGTGAAGTCTTTTATTGAAAATTTTAAAGGATATTGAACTATTTCCATGCATTTCAAATTAAGTAGAATCTGTATTTTTAAGCACAACTTCTAATTTGGTTCACCTTGCTTTCCTATGTCTCTGTTTAACAGAAAAAGGGACTTTCTCCATTATTATTTAGATAGTTGACATTTTTGTTCAGTGGGGGAGGGGGTTGAATCACAAGATGACATGGTGGCATCCACTCATTAAAATACAGTGCATTGATTTAATTTTTTATCTCACTTCGCAACATGAAGTTTATCTTAAGCCATATTATTAAAATTTTTAGTTCTTATCAAATTTTTTTTACTAATTAGTTAATCAGACAGAGTTGTTTCTTTCCAAATTAAAACCAAAAATATTATCTGCTATGGAGATTCCTTTAGCTCCCAGCAGTTTATCCTCCCCTGTTGTTCCTGCTGGTGCCGTCACTATTCTCAAGCAGGTTTTTTTTTCCTACGCATGTTATCACGCACGAGATCAAGTGGTTGGTAGTGGGAGAAGAGGAGAAATTCATTAGTAGATGGTCATTTTGAATCAGCTCAGAAGCCATGATGAACATTTGCTCACTTCTGGCAGGTCCTCTGTGGCCCATCTGGAACAAATTAGTTTTCTTGGCACTGTTTTACTCGCACTGTAAACTCTTTGGGGCAGCGAACAGGAGCTGGCACTAGCCCTAATCTCCAACTGAGCTCCCTAAGTATTACAGCAGTATAAATAAGTAGTAATTAGTTCTAAGCAATCTCAGTCCCACATGGTAGCCTAAATCAGGGAAGGATTAGGATAGATCTAGAAAATTTTTCTTCTATCTTGGTGGAACAAAGGAGTAACGTGGGCATTTTTTTCTTGATTCTTTGGTCTTTTTTTTTTTTTTTTTTTTTTTTTCCCCCGGGGTAGAAGCTTCCCATCTTTGGTTTCCACAATTTGGTGGGATTTTAGTGAAGTCTGTTTCAGCTCTGACTCAGCTCAGGGAACATGTGTTCAACAGCATCCCAGGTTAGTACAATAAGTAACGACAAATCTAGTTGGTGACACTGAGAGGGCTGTGTGCTGCTAGATCGAATGACAGTACAAATTTGGGCTGGGTCAGACACAAGCATGTGATCTTCATGTTTCTCATAGGTTAGCTGGATCTTGCACTGCAGTCAGAGGGCTGGTGTGTCCTGTCAGCTATGGCAGCGAACATCTGACTTGTGAACACATCTGAATGAGGCACCCTGAGCTCCCTTCACAGGCACTGGGGATCCATATAGTTTAGGAAATATTTTCCCTCATTCTGCATTTGGTGAGGTGAATCCTTGTGCTGAAAAGCTGGCTCAGATATGGACACCCACTTTACAGACATTTGGGTGGGTTCAGTTCCAGGCAGGGACACCTGAGTGAGTAGGTGTTGCCATGGAGGCTGGTCCACTAAGCTCCCATTAGTTAATGGAGATGTGGTCTGCAGCAGGTAGAACCTGGCTTGTAAACACCAGGGGTGAGATTCTGTTGCCTAAAAGTAGATGCCTACTGTTATCTAGGTTCTGTCATCTGGGGTGAGTATCCTGCTGGCCTCCACATGCTGCCAGGAATCCTGTGAGACATCCTGTAAATCTTCCCAGACGTTTCAGTCCCTTAGGCCATCCCAAATGTCATGAGGTACCTGTGTTTAGGCAGCTGTATCCTGACTATCTGGGCTTCCTAGGCAACCCATTCTGTGTTTGCTCCACTGTCAGCATTGATTAGATATCTTCTTTCTGTAGTAGAATCTTGGATATCTGGTGTGCAGAGAGACACCTAAATGTAGGTGGTTTAACCTCAAAATTAGTCCTGTGCTTGGTGTACCATTTGGGCTGGATGTGACCCTCTACTAACCTGAGTGCTGCTGATGTACTTCTGCTCTTTTGGGAATGTTTGTAGGCAGCCCCACTGGAGATGCAGCCTTACTTTCCAAAGTTGGTTCCTATTTTGGAGGAAACATCTCGTCTGCATCTCAACAGTGCAAAGGTTTGAAGCTACTTTTGCTTCCCTGTTTCTCCAAACCACAAGTGCTGATTACAGTAGTGGTGGTACAAGTGGCCAAGCAGATGTGGATAGACCCCAAACCGTGAACGTTGATGTCTGGTGTTGGTGTTGATGTGCCTGAAGCCACACTTCCTGCTTGTCAAGGGCTCTGATCAGTGCTGTTACAGATATTCCTTCATGGTGCAGGTAGATTAGGAAAAGTGGGCTGGGAGCTTGAAAGAGATGTGGGCCCTGAGGAGGCTTTATTTGCTGTTTGCCTCCCCCCTTTTCTGGCTTTAGTGCCTGCCTCTGTCCTGCTCTGGATGCAAGTTCACATCAGTTCCAGTCAGGCAGAAAACAGGCAGGCAGCCCCGGGAGAAGGGGAAGGAAGCAAGAAGGGAGACGGCTCGATGTTGTTCTGCGTGTCCAGACACAGTGCCAGAGGGCAAGAACTTGTACCCATCGAGGAGGGGAGATGCCAAGGACAGGGGTCAGGAGAACAGCTGTGGCTGCTCTGATCATTCACGTGGATGATACGATGCTGATACAAGTTTGCCTTAGGTCAGCACCAAAACCAAAGGGAGCCTGGACTCTCCAGCTCTGAGGATGTGGCTGCTTGTGAACAGCCAGGCCCTTTTTCAGGAGCAGCAATTTAGAATCATAGAATCATGGAAAGTCTTGGGTTGGAAGGGTCCTTGAAGATCATCCAGTTCCAATCCTCTGCCATGGGCAGGGCCTTTTTCCACTAGACCAGGTTGCTCAAAGCCCCATCCAGCCTGGCATTGAACACTTCCAGAAATGGGGCATCCACAACTTCACCGAGCAACCTATGCCAGTGCTTCATCACCCTCACAGTAAAGATTTTTCTCTGCATATCTAACCTAAACTTCCCCTCTTTCAGTATTTGATCCCCATACTCCTTGTCCTATCAGTACAGTTCCTGCTGAAGAGTCTCCAGCTTCCTTGTAGGCCCCATTCAGATACTGGAATGCTGCTGTGAGGTCTCCACACAACCTTCTCTTCTCCAGTCTGAACAACTCTAACTTTCTCAGCCTACTCATCATCCTTGCTCTGGTCTTCCTATGCAATGGCAAGTTACCCTTCAGCAAAGGGAGTCCACAGACACTTTCCCAGTTAATACCCCATGGTTGATGTCCCAATTTACCAGATGACCAAGTTTTTTTATGGTGGGCAACAGTCCTGATAACCTTGAAGCCTTGATCTAATCCCTTCACTCTTGCAGGTGGTGATGTCCCTTCAGTTCCTAGGGATGCCTCTGGCAAAGGGGACATCACTCCCTCCTGAACCCAACCAAATGCAGCACATTTGGACAGCTCTGTGCTACTGCATCCAACACCAGAGTTTCTGTCGTGGTTGGGCTTGGCTGTCTGCTTGTCTGACCAGTGGTATGTCCTGCTGTCAGTTTGGAATCAACGCTGGACTCTGTAATGTGATGGACCCTGAGGTGTTTGGGGATGACCAAAGAAAGGTCCATTGCCACTGGTTGTTCAAGTGAAAAGAAAACACGTGGGCATGGCTCTACCTGTGAAAGGAGGGATGACTCCATGAGTGTATCTCAAGTTGATGGTTTCAGAGTCCAGAGAGAAGAATGGAACTGGTAGAGATGATTTTGGCTGAGGGAAGAGCAGTACTCAGGAGATCAGGTGTCCTTTTAGGAGTCTTTTCTGCTGGGGTTAAGTTGCCTTTTCACAATTTTTTTTGAAAAAATCCATCCAGTGGAATAGCTTTGTTGTTGATTTTGTGTTTTGCATCTGCAGTAAGTTTAATCCAATTCCAGGCACCCTGAAACTGGATTTAACATCTTTTGGGAGCAGATATTAATTCAAACATTATCACATGCTAAACAGTCGTGGGAGTGTTAAAGTTAGAAATGACTGAAGTGTCTTGCTGAAATGATGAACTAAGATATATTACTCTTTAGGAAGATACAGACTCTAAATTTTTTTCTGTTGAAGGGATATATGTAAATGTAGAAACATTGTGTACTCTGTATTTTATTTGGACAAGTTAAATCAGGATACCTACTTCTTTTTTCTTGCTAAACTTCATTATTTTAATGATTGTGAATATTAAAGAGTCCTAAATTCCTAATATTAAAGATTAGAATTTGCAGTCAGATTGTGTCAAGATAGTAAGCGAGGATGAACTTAGTTATTGATAAGTTGTTAAATGGTGTTTAAAATTAATTCAGAGACATGATTTAGACCTGTAATAGACATGTTGGTAAATGCAGTCAAAGGAAAGATTTGGTGTGATCTCTACCTTAAACCAACTCTGTTTTGGAATCAGTGACTCCTGAAAGCCTGTATTCTGGCTTGAGCTGTGCCACATCTTTACTGCCTGAGTGAAAAACACAGGATTTAATCCTGAGTGCAACAGTTTTTTGTACGAAAGCAAAATTAAGATGTGAATCAAGAATACTTGGAGATCATTTGAAGGAGCAACTGAACTGCAATTAATTTGCTTTGTTGCTGGTTTGTTTATACTGATCTTTACGTTCTCTTTTCCAGGTAAAGCCGACCAAAGACTCTGTGTACTTTGGAGCACTTCTCTTTCTCTACACGGGAGATTTCTACCTGAATATCAAATTCCATGAAGACAACTGCAGCAGGGAGCTGCCTCTCTCCTGGCTCTGTCTTCCCAGTGTCCACATCCGTGCTACAGAGCCCGTGGTCCCAACGAAGCTGTAAATGGACTGTGTGCTACTTGATTAACCACAGCGCACAGCAATGCTTGGCACAGCCTCTGCTTGACCCCAGCTTGTTTCTGTCCAACCCCAGGCCACAGACTCCACTTTGGAGGAACAGCTGAACACTTTCTGAATTGGCTGATAGTCATTTGGGCAGCTGCCTTTGCTAATTTCAGGGAGAGGGAGAGAGAGATTATAACTGTGCTGGAGTTTTCCTCTGTTTCCAAAAAGCCTTTGAAACTGCTAATATATGCATAATACTTTAATATACTCCATTGATGTCAGTGGTTTGAAAGGGTCTTGAGGACTGAATTTAACCATGTGTTTGAAGGTCTCAATTCCAATGTGAATAATAATAATGATTTAGATTTTTTCAGTAAGGTTTGTGTATCTGTATGAAATTCCTCCTGGCTTGTTCTGGACCCATGGCATGTACCTTTGAGGTGTAGCTGTCTCTTAGATTTTGTTCACTGGCTTGTTCTTGTTCACTTGTTTGCTGAGTATTTGGTGTCTTTGGTAATAAATGGCAGTAGTGGTGCTTTGTAGTGTGTTACTGAAAGTAAGAATAGCAAATGTGCCTCCAGTTCTCTCCCTCCCCTGAGCCCGGTGCCACTTGCTCCTGGTGAAGTCACTGCCTTTAGTTTGGCAGATCTGTGAACTAGAAAGGAAAGAGAGTGAAGAAGAGGAAAGGAAAGAGTTTTGTCCTTGAGAGAAGAAATAAGCCAACTTTTGGGTTGCCTAGGGCTTGCCTGTGAATTTGGGCTCTCAGAGTTATGTTTTATACAATCACTTGAAACATTTGCAGGCACCTAAAGATCCACCAGAATTAATCAGTTGTTTGTTCATATAACTTTGCATGAGTTTTTGCAAACTCTTCTGATCAGATTTTTCAAGCTAAGATACTGCTTTTTTATGTGGCTGGTTTTTCTTTTTTTTTTTTTTTCCTTTTTTTTTTTTTAAAGTTTAATTATTAGCCAGTTAAGGCCATGGAATTCCTGACTGTAAAACTAGTTGATGGATGTACTGAAGATTTAGCCTGTTTTTCAGAGTAATGTTTTTGTATAGTGAGATATGTTTTTACCCCATGTAAAGCAGGGGGATGTCTTAGCTCTATGATTAATATATTATTTCATGGACCATATGTTTAAAGCCTGTCTCAATATTTTCTTCAAGTTGTAGTTAAATTTGGTGGTAGAACACTTTTGGGGGTGGATACACCAAGATGCAGCGGGGGTGGTCCAGTTAACTCTATATGATTTAAATTTACATGCACAATGTCTTTGCAGATTTTTTGTTTGTTTGTTTCTTTAGACTTCATCCAAACATGGGCCCCCCACTTCATGCCTGACCCAGTAGCTTCTTCGGGTTCTCTGTACCATATATTTATTTAGATGTGTCTGATGTTTTCCACTGGAAAGACAGTGCTCAAAACTCAATTCATTGTATGTTTGCTGACAACTGTAGTGTATTCACCCTAAATATATTTCTAACTTGAGGGAACTATAGCTACAGCGTGGAATTTCCAGTGTATGCAGGGTATTATCTCCAAAAACGTGTATTCTGGCTATGTTATCAGTGTTTGTGCTCGAGCTCTGGCTCTGTGCACAGCTTTGAATGCCACAGTGGAAGTTTTCAGCCTTGACCTGAAGGGAATCCGAGGCCAGCTGAAGATTCACTTGCAGTGATTTACTGCTCTGTCAGCAGTGTCCAGTGACAAAACTGTTCCTTAGTCTTGCACAGTGGCTCTGGGCCAGAACACCCATGGAAAGAGGGGGTCCAACAGCTGAGCTGGGCATTTATTTTTGCATTGGTGGAGCAGTGAGGCTGAATTCTCAGTCACTGGGTAGGCATATAAGCAGAAAAATTAAGATCCAAGGAGAGCAGGAACTAAACCAGTTGATCTTTTCCGTAAAAGCTTGGTTTTGACATGCGTGTCTGTACTATGTTGCACAACACTGTTGCAGCAAAATCCAAATTGGGTTTTATTCAGTATTCCCAGCAGGTAATCTGCAGATTCTAGGAACGCAGCTAACGCTTTATAAGGGCCACATTGCATTCCAAACAAAAATATTGTGAAGCACATGCTGTTGCATTCAGGATGCTTCAGCTTACCCAGCTATGGGATCATTTCCTAATTTATTTTTGACAGCATTCTCTGAGAAGAGAGGGTCTTGTTCTGTGAGGCCTGTGCTGGGATGCAGCATTCCTGTGTCTTTTTACTTATAAAAGATCTTGATCCACAGCCTCCTGAAGCTGTTGGAATAGGGACAGCTTTTATTATAACAAAAGCAAGCTGTATTGTTTCCTAGGTATCCAATATGACATTATAAATCTGCCATATGTGCACATAAATATAAGTTCTTATGTTTGAGCTGACCCTTAAAGGTCTATCTGTTCATTATATAGTAGACTACTCTGTCCCTTGTCAGCTTTGATGCTTAGTTACTTTTGGCATTTATGATGTCTTTCCCAATTTTCTCACACTTTTGCTTGTCTCAGTGAGAGAGATGAAACACAAGAAATTCTCCTTCTGGAGATCATTTTTGACTTGTCCAGAAGGAAAATATTTAAGTGTTAGTGTAATTTGGAGAAAGGTGATGGGAAGGTGTTTAAAGTCACTGGGATTGCTGTCAGGATTGGTCACTGTACTGCTTGGAAGAAGGATGACATTGCTCTGATCTGTTCTCCTGTCCTGGTACTGACAACTTTATTTTATTCCTCCAAAACACCCAGCAATTATTTTGAACATGGTAAACCAAACTGCTCATTGTTATACAGATGTAAATCTGATAGGAGCCCAGTGGTTGCATTAAATCATTCCTAATTTAAATCACCACTGCTGAGAGCAGACGTTGGTTCAGTCGATGTGTGCATTGGAGAAGCATAAGTCGTGCAACTTCAACTGTCTGAATAAATACTCATTTCATTGTATTTAAACCTCTGCCTGTCTCTTCTGTCTGTAATTCCTGATGGTGTTCTTGTGTGTTTTTATTGGTAATAATAACATGTCTCTTGATGCTGTATTCTGTCTCTGAGAGAAATGTGTTTGATCCTGGAATTGAAATTTCAGCTTCACTCAGACTTTCTCTTCCCAGATGAACCCAGAGCTGCTCCATGGCGTGGCTCCTGTGTCAGTGTCTGGTCACTGTCAGCTGAGGGGACAGAGCTGCACTCACATAAAAGGCAACAAATGCCTCATTATCCCAGTACTGACACCGAGGGTGCTGAGGGACTGGCATAGGCTGCCCAGAGCAGTGGTGGGTGCCTCATCCCTGGGAACATTTGAGGGCAGGTTGGATGGGGCTCTGAGAAACCTGACTTTGTTAAAGATGTCCCTGCTCATTGCAAGGGGCTTGGAACTAGATGACCTGTAAATGTACTTTCCAACCCAAACCATTCCATGACTCTATCATCCTTTCCATCCTCTAAGAAAGAGCTCAGAGACTGGAAGACCAGGTGTTGGAAGACTGGCTGCAAGCACTTAAAAACCATCTGATGTCCAGCCCTGTTTGAGGAGCTCCTATCAAAGTCCTGAGGCTCCTGTGTTTGGATTCCCAATCTAGAAGCTCTTAAATTTTCCTTAGTGAGAGCCAGCTGCACTGTCCCTTCCTTGAATCCTCTGGCTCCCTTCCTGGGTGCGGGCACTTTGTCACTGAAATGGGATTGTGCATCAATCCTACTTGCTCTAAAAACATTCTAGTGCTGGCTGCCAGCTCCTTGGGATGGAAGCAGGCCTTCTAGAGCTCTGGGATTGCAACTCAGCTATTTGGGTACAGGTGGGATGATTTGAAGGCTTTCATACAGGTACAGGCTTTACAGAGCTTTGTCAACACTAGTGTTCTCTTGTTAATAAAGAAGACACACAGATCTGGAAAACTGTTGTGTCCAGTGTTCAATGATAGATGTTTACTTCTGCAAGTTAGACCGTTCTGGGGTTGGGTCAGGGTCCTTGGGTTGTTCAGCATCCTTTTAGCTTTTAGTTTCTCATCTTGCTCTTTCTTGCCTCATCCTTCACACCGACCCTTCCACTCGCTGCACATTTCTGCTTTTCTTTGTTTGGTCCCAAAGGAAAGGATCGAGTTGTCCCTTTCTGTTTCTCCTTCCTTCCTTCCTCTGCATCTCTGTTAGACCCCTCCAAAAACTTTGTTCATGTTGGGGAAAAAATTGCTTCAAACCCAGCTTCAGTTGTTAAAAAGAGCATCTTTAAAGCATTTTTGAGTTATTTCATTTGCACAAGATCTTATCTATTTTATTACCATCTGATGTTGCTTTTTAGAATGATACTTAGGCCACTACATTCACGATGCATCAATTATCCCATAACACCAGTGGGATCTGTGCTGTGTGTAGGTGACATTAATTAACATGTATTGCTTACTCACTGCCCCTGTGTTCCTGATTCAGCAAGATACCTAAGCATGTCCCTAATATTAAGCACATTAATGGAAAGCACATTAATAGACTACCTTTTCACAGCTAATTCAGTCACACGTCTGCCTGGGGAAGTTGCTAAACCTTTGTCCAGATATGCAATCCACGTCCAGACCTGCAAATTTGGCATTGAGGCCCCCATCCTGTTGTGTTGCATGGGCGATCACTGCTGGCTCCCAGGAACCCTGGTACAAGGAGAAGACATCTCATCCAGATCTGGCACTGGCATTTTGAGACATGAGGGGGTAGATTTGTACAAGTCTGGGAGAGCAGAACATCCTTCCAGGATGAGATGTGCCCAGTGAGTGTCTGTACCAGCCACAGTAATGAACCTTGAAGGTGTAAATCATATACACAGATTGCCTTGGGTAACCACGTTGCACCCGGTGCTGTGCACCAGGTGAAATAGTGCTCAGCCACCTCCTGTTTGCAGGTGCTCTTCCAGGTGTTTCTTTTCCAAGGACTGGTACCAGCACAGGCTGCACCGGCGTCCTCTCACCCTTCCCATCTCCACAGCCACAGGAAAACACCTCAGGAACTGCTCAGAAATCACTTGGCATAGGGGAAGGCCTATGTTAACACTGGGGAAACACAGCACCACTTCTGTGATGAGGGAGCACTGGATCCTCTGAAGAGAAAAGTTTGTTACAGCCCAATGTGCTCTGATGCCATGACTTCAGAAGGGCGATTTCAGCCCCTTTTCAGCACGTGTTCAGCTTGAACAGAACAATGTAGACACTGCCAGAGAGAAATCAGGCCAGCTATTGAAACAGTTTAACAATGAGCATCTTGTTAATGGCTATGAGGATGTCATCACTGATCTGTGTCAGGAACAGGACCCTTCTGCTCTCCAAAGCCTGGTTTCTTACAAACCAGTCCAGGTCCATGGTTGAAGTGATGCCATGGTCCAGTTTAGGTATCTGCCTGTCACCTGTCCCAACAGCTCAGATCCAGAGCAGAGATGCCATTCCCTCCCCATTCCTTTTGCCTGATTCACCTCTTTGTGTGGCCAGATGAGGCTAAACCCATGTGATGGATTTGGGTTGAAAAGAGGAAAGAAAAGGCAGGGGAGTGTTTTCCTTTAGGGTAAGGAAACACACTACCCCACATGTGAGTGAGGGGCTTACTGATGTGGAGCTCCATCACCACACAGAAGCCTGTGAGGTTGCAGCATCCCTCACAGACACGTTTACAGAACATTTGGGGCAGAACAGGGGTAAGTGAGCAGTGAGAGGGAGGGAGGGTGGAAATGCAGAGGGAAATGGCACAGGGCTACAAACACAAACACCTCCACAAGGTGCCCGAAGTTAACCGAGATGAATCAAGGCCAAATGGGTTATGTAACTGCCACAACATTAAAAATAGGTTACACTGTATATTAAAATTTCATTTATAAATTGTTTATAGAGCATTCATAAATGTTAAATGTGGTAAGCACGTTATGCACACGAATACTTTGTGTTCCAGCATTATCGATGGCTGTGTACACGGCAGCTGCAGGTATTATAGATGGTTAAATCACAGCTCTAGAGACCAGCAGTTCAATAGCAATATACAATAAATGAATCATCAATCACCTCAACATGTATTAAGAAATTATGTGCTCTTTCTAAATGGAACCTTAATAAGAAGTGTGACCTTAAGAAGGTGTGAAACGGGGAACTTTTCCCCTTTCATTCCTTTTTTTTTACTCTTAAAAAAAAAAAAAAAATGAAACCCAAAACCCAACTCTCAGTTCTCCAGTTTAATAATGATTGTGCTTTTCCTCACCTCTGACTTGAGAAAGGCCACAGACTCCTGAGAATTTAAAAGGATTCATGGAACAAGTACAGTAATTGGATGTGCCCCACTCTGCTGCAGATATGTTTTGTTTCTTTTGGGGGTACAGACTCCAGGGATGCAGAAGGATGTCATGTCAGGAAGGATGTCACCTTGCCAGCCAGGGTGTCTGCAGATCCCTGGAGAAAGTAGAAGAGCAAAGGTAAGGTGAATGTAAATTAAGTAAGGAGCAGAGCAGAAGAGGCATGAAATGAGACTTGAATAGCATAATTTAATTTACTGAAATGACCCCTGCAACCTGTTCTGGGCATTTGTTCACATGGAAGATGTCACCAGAGAAGACGCCACCATTGCAGACTCCCAGCACAAGGCAGACCAGATAAGAGTTTCTCCTTCCCTACAACGGGAATAATAAACCTGGAGGAAGGTATAAAGCCTGCCCATCCCATCCCATCCCATCCCATCCCATCCCATCCCATCCCATCCCATCCCATCCCATCCCATCCCATCCCATCCCATCCCATCCCATCTCTCACTTCCTTGGAGAACTGAGTCCCACAAGACTATTTTTATTAGTGGAAGAGATAGGAGATGTTCCTGTCTTTCCACACTTGGCTGAAGTTCTGGTCAGGGCCGTGTCTTTACAAATCTCTTGAGGAGGGCACTGCAGGGACCTGGCCCAGGTCTGTAGTATTTGAATTGTGTATCAATACTGGCTGCTTGCATGGGGTGTCAGAACAAAGCCCGTGGATAATATGCATTTAAACTTAGCACAAAAATAAGACAAAATATGTGCAAATGCTTTGGGATAATATTTTCAATGCAAATATTGTATAAATCTACTAGATTTTCCCTTTGTATAGCTCTCTAAATGTTGCTGCTGTTGGTTTCAAAACAAAATCATGTCCTATAAGGCTTGTGGTCAGTCCATAATGGGGGCTTGGGGTCACACAAGCTCTGTTGAGAGAAACAACAGGAGGGATCAGTGATATTATTAACACAAGCCTCTTTGTTTAAAACCATTAGATGTGACCAGGAGCCACACGATGACCTGTTGTGATTTACAGGGCAGACATCTGTGCTTCCTAGAAAATCCACAAGGAGAAGGGAGCTCTGAGGAAACACCCACCCTGCATCAGAAAAGTTTCCAACCTGAAATGCCTGGGTCTTGCCAGTGGCTGTAAAGAGAGGACAGGGTGACTAGTTGAGATGGAGACATCCACTTACCAGACCACTGCATTCAGCTGAGTAAAATCATGAAATCACAGAATGATTTGGGTTTGAAGGGACCTTAAAGATCTAGTTCCAAACCTCCTGCCATGGGCAGGGACACCTTCCACTTGACCAGGTTGCTCAGAGCCCCATCCAACCTGGCCTTGAACCCTTCCAGGGATGGGGCATCCACAGCTTCTCTGGGCAACCTGTGCCAGTCCCTCACCACCCTCACAGGGAAGAATTTCTTCTTAATAATCAATCCAAACATATTTCATCTCAATGTAAAGCTATCTTTTTGTCCTATAAAACTTCCTGTACTGTCCCATCAAACATGGATGAAGTTAGCAAATGTGTTTAAAAGCTTTGAAAATCCCAGGGAGACACCTCTGAACACCAACACCATGAGCACAGGAGACTCATTTCTTTGGAGACCAAATAGAGGGAACCCCTTTGTCTCCCCATCTGGGGTGCAGTTCCATGGGGTTCATTCCCAGTACTTTTCCTTTTTGCTG